CTTTGAAACTCTTGTTCTAGAATCTTGTAGTATTGAAGTATTCTAGATCTCGGGGCAAGATTCTGTTAGGGAACTTAGATAGTTCTTGTTAGAGAACTAAGTTCCTGTTAGGGAACTCTTCATGTACTTGTTAGGGAACATGGAACTCTTCATGTACCTGTTAGGGAACATGGAACTCTTCATGTACCTGTTAGGGAACATGCTCTGGCTTTCGTGGGAAAGCCTGCCGAAAGTTCCTTCTGGATCTTGTTAGAGAATACCTTCATGTTCCTTCGTGGTTTGGTTCTCATGGGAGAACCTGCTTTAGGTTAATTTATTCTCTCTTGTTTCTCTTGAAGTCTTCTATGTTCCAACCATTGACTTCACCTAAGTCAGTTCCTGTCTTCACATAAACACTTAAGAGAAACATTAGATTGAAGTTTATTTGTCATAAACAAACTTCAAGTGAGAGAACTAACTAAACTTAAAGCTTATGTAAATACTCCTACACATATACAACTCATGTATGCATAGTGTACTTACCTCATGAAGCTAACTTATGCAAACACCTATTTACATAGTTACCATCATGGTTCCTTAGCCATCATCATGCTTATCAACCATAACACTCATCATTGTTCTTGTTCTTCTATTGCTTATCATATATTGCTTAAGTTCCTTATATACTTGTCATTGCTCAGGTTCCTTGTATCATGTTCCAAGTATAACTTGTTCTTTTTATGCATAACTTAACAAACACGTTAGATAGATAATCATCATTAGTTTACAATCATCAAAACCTTATTACTCAACAAGAGTACAAGTTAATATACAATTAACGATTACAATAGCATCTTAAACTTATCAAACTGAGCTTATTATTTCTCCAATTTGACAGCACCCCACACAAGTTCAAATATTGTTAAATAACAACCAAAAAAACAACATATTAAGCAGCTAGTTATAATTTAAAATGCAGCAAAATCAACAAGTCCAACACACAATACACTAACAACGTAATCAGCTAGTTAAGTTAATTAGTAAAAAAACTGCAAACCCTAATTCGCACAGTCAAATTTTCAAGTTTTTGAGGTTTATGCCCTATTTTCAAAATTGCCCCAAACTCCAACATCAATTTGCAAGTTTGCCATCAATTACACCCCAAAAGGCATTAAAAGGATTTAAAAAATACCTAATTAGGAATCTTCCACCAATATTTATCAGTATCACGCCAACTTTTAACTTTTTCTTCGAGGAAGATGGATGACGCAAATGGCTGACTTGTTGTTTTCGTACAACTTTGAATGCTCTCCTCTCAAATTCACTCCTCAACCACACAATTTAGATTAGATTTGATTATTATTGAAGATTTTTTGAGTAGATGAAAATATTCAATTGAATTGAATGCAGAAGGTGGGTGAGTAATCAATGAAGGAAGTAAAAGCGTAAATACAAGGTTGAAATTTGGAGGTAAAACATAAAAGTGGGCCCCGCGAACATTTTCTATGACGGAAATCATTGTCTGGTGGTAATTTCAAAATTTTAATTTTTTAAATAGTGCTAACATAAATGTTTTTTTTTTTGTAGTGTTTAAAAACCATTTTTTGGCGTTTTTGTGGTGTTAAAATTCAAATTTTCCTATTTTTATTTAAGTGTTTTTGCTCCAACCAGAATTGACACTTTAGATTTTATTATATATTTATTGATTTTTTTATAATAATAACACTATAATTAAATAACTACACATATAGAATTTTTTATTTTTTTAAAAAAAATTGTCACAAAAAATAAGTCAATTAAATTTATATAAACATTTCACGGATCAAATTAAGTATGCTATAAAAAATTGTGCCGGTCAAAACATGCCAATAAAATAGGGACATACGGGATATATTGTATTTAAGTACATTGCATGGGTTATAAATAACATAAATCTCATTCTTATATAAAACCTTATTATAATCATTAAATTTGCGGGGTGTTTTTTTTCAAATGTTTAATTAAATGATCAATAAGTTTTGATATCACTATAATATAAAATTCAAGTTAATTTTTTTGAAAAGAAATTCAAGGATTTGTTTCAATTAAAAACATTGGTTTTTCTTGTTTTATAAATTTATTGTTAAATTAACATTGTAGTTCATAATTAGATTAAGTAAAAACCGTGCATTACACATAATTTTAACTAGTTGAAATATTAAAACTTAACATATTTAGATTCTCATAGATTATAGGCAGTATTTCCTCAAAACAAAAATAAATAAATAAATAAAAAGATAATATCATCAATAATATAATAATATCACCTTGGAAGTGACTTTTTTTGTCTTGTCAATATCAGCACTTTACTTTTGTATAAATCAAAAAATTGTGTTGAATCTTCCAAGACTCAATTTATTCATTACATATTAAAAAGAAAATATCCTCACTTTTATTATTCGTTAATAAATTCAATATAAACCAAACGTAAAATTTACATTGGAGCATAATACAATGTACAATCTTTGTTTTATATTATTTGCAACGATTAGACATTTTTCTCATATTTTATGTCAAGTCATTGCAAATAATATAAAGCTAGCGGAAGTAATAAATAATAATAAATAAAAAAAAGGGATTCATAAAGAAATGGGTGTGAAAGGAAAAACATGAGATCAAATAAGAAAGAAATTGAGAATGATGACATGATCTTTTATTTGGCTAGTGAATTAAATTTGATTTTTTTTTCTTTGACAAGAATTTGAATGTTTTTAGTTGAGCTTTGTTAAACAACAACATTGTCTATCCATACAGTGTCCCCATTAGGGCATCTAGGACATTTACTGTTGCAATCTTCTTGTATACATTGTTTCATTGCTACGCAAATATGTGGGCATGTTTGTTCATCCCCGCTCGTTATTGTATGGATCAATGGTGAAACTTCTCTACCAATGCCACCTGTTTAAATAAATATAACATAATCATTATCATCAATTGCTAAAGGCAATAATAATATAAGATGCTAGTTAAAAAAGAAATGATTAAGAATTATTAACTATTAAATAAAAAGGAAAAATTGTCAAAAATCGCCTTTTAAAACACCTTTTTTTGTGATAAGATACCGTACCTTATAAAAATTTTCTTGTGAAAGCACACTTAAAACCATATTTTTTTTTTTGCAAGGTAACACCTTAGGCTGGTTTCAGGGCGTTGACCCTATTTTCCGACATTGACTCTCATGTGAGGGTCACGTGCTCAACCGAACCCCTCCTTCCACAAAACCACCAAAATCAAGCTTAGCCAACCCCGGCCGCCAACAACACCACCTAGCCGCCACTATAACCACCACTCAGTTGCCGACACCACCACCGATCAACCTAGCCACCATCACCGTCCACCCAAATCACTTAAAAACTCGTCCGCAAAAACCCTCACCTACCTCCAATACCACCCATGTCCCACCCAGATCCACCTGGAAAAAGCATACCCTCCACCAAAAATCAATAGAGAAGAGAGAAGAAGGTAAGTTATAGTTTCTCCCCCTTCTTTCCCCAATTAAGAACCCTAGACCTAAGGTAAATTAAAAAATCCAACAAAATTAACAACAATGAATCAATTTTTTTAACTTTAACATCTTACCTACTTCAAAATTAGATTAATCGAGGTTGTTCTTTTCCACAATTTGATCAAAAAAATGGAGTTTTCACATTCAATTGACAAAATTCGAGGGTAGCTATGAAGAATAGAAGAGTGAGAAAGTCTAATTGGAGGGAAAAAAGGGGAAAAAGAAAGAAAAAGGGGGTGGGTTTAGAGTGAATTGGGTAGGCGGTGATGGTAGCTAGGTTGGTGGGGGTGGTGTCGACGGAGGTTGAGAGGTGGTGTTAGTGGCGGCTAGATAGTGGTGTTGGCGACTGGGTTGGCTAGCAGGCTATGATTTTGGTGGTTTTGAGGAGGGAAGTGTTGAGCACATGACCCTTACGTGAGGGTCAATGCCTAAAACCGGATTTTGGTTTTATTTCACAAATATATATATATATATATATATATATATATATATATATATATATATATATATATATTTGTGAAAGCTAAATCCGGTTTTAGGTGTGTTTTCATAATAAAATTTTTATAAGATGTTTTTTCACAAAAAAGGTGTTATAAAAGCTGATTTCTTAGAATTTTTCCAATAAATAATAATACTAATTGACTAGTGATTTTGTTATTAAATTGAAACTTATACGAAGTATAAATTTATAACGTGAAATTAGAATTTATATGCAGCCTGAAGGTGTCAATTATAGTGTTCGGGTCGGGTTCGATGAGGTCAAGTCAAATTTAATTTTAACACCACTAGATTATAGTGTTCGGGTCGGGTTCGATGAGGTCAAGTCAAATTTGATCGGGTCGTTCAGATTAGGTTTTGACACCACTAGATTTAACAATATAGATAGCCTGTAATGATCATTTTAATGACACAAAAGATGGTCTGATTGTTTGTCCAGTTGTCCTACATTCTTCAATAAATTTCAAATTGAAAATGCATTTTGGAGCATTACAAATATTGACACCATTAACCACAGTAAAACAAATTATGTAAGAAAACTAAAATTATGAAAATGAATTTTAAAGCATGACAAATATTGAAACCATAGTAAAATAAAAAAGATTGACAATTAAACTCACCATAGGGCATACACACCAAAACTATCACCAAAAACAAGGTAATAGAAGCTAACTTTCCGATCATCAATATTGGCAAATTAAAGTTCGTCAGTTAAGCAAAATTAAATCACGATTTGATTAATTAAGAGGTTGGCGAAATTGTTAGGACGCTTTTTTTAAAAAAATAAATTGAATTGTTAAGAATTTAGGTCCTTATATAATTTACAATTGACTAATTTAGCAATGCATATCTGTCATGATTTTGTTTTCTATTTATTATAGACATCTCTCAAGAAGAATACAGAGTATTAATCAAATCATCTCAGATATTTTAGGACTAAATCAGGTTTTATATCAAAATATTTAATATTTCCATGAAATGACAATAAAATCATCACATAAATTATTTTATTGGATAATTTAACAAGTGATAAATACACAAACAAAATTTCATTCTAAACGTCCTTCCTATCTAAATTTAACGGTGAAATCATCTCATCTGTAATCACTCAACTAACCAAAACTTTAACCCGTTGGGTTAGCTAGCAAGTTAACTGTCATTTCCTATTTTAATTTGCGGCCTGTGATTAGATCTACATCAGAACACCTTCGGAGTTGTTAAGCGCTTTCTTAATAAGCTTGAACTTTTTAGCAGCGGTTTTATTTGTGCTTACAACATACTCTCTGATAAATAACTCCAGACCATTTCGGAGTTCTTCCAACTCAGGTGTAATGGTGACCCGTGTAAAAACATTCCACACAACATTATCTCGGTACTCGAAAAGTGCCTCAAAGAGCATCCGGAAATGCATTATCCTCTTTGCAGTAAGCTGGGTGGCATCAATCAGATCAACGACTTTCAAAACGGCAAGGGAAAGAGTGAAGCTTGCAAACATTTCAGCCTCAAATTTAGCTAGGTGCATTGATCTCATCAAAGGCATGGACTCCAGCTCTTTCAAATGGTCCCAAAGGCAATACTGCATAATATTAGGAAAAATAAAAGTTAAGAGATACTTGTGTTCTTTGTTTCACACATCTTTTTATTTATTGTTAAAAGTCTGGACAATTAGAGGAGAGAGGCATATATGAAAATAAAATAAATAGAAGATTTCCAAACAGGGAAGTGAATAAATAAACAAACAAAAATAAGCAGATTATGGGAGGCAATGCACTAAAAAATAAATGAATGAATAAATAAACAAATAAGGCCAATTATGGGAAGTGATGCACGAAAAAAAAAAAAAAAAAAAAAAGGAGTGCGTATCCATTGGACACCTAAGTCTTATACCAGTAGCTTTCACCATAAACTTGCACCACAAATTTGAAATAAATTACTTCTTTTATTCACATTCAAGCTTTATGGTGTCCTCTACAAACTGTTCGCCAAACAAACAATTAAAGCAACAGAATTTTTTCATAAATAAAGGTAAAATTAGGACTGCCAAACGGGTCATGTCATATTGTGTTCCTGTCAATATTATACGGATTCGCTTATCTTTATTAGTCCATGCAAGAAATTAGATAATTTAGTACAATATAAACTAATTAGTATTCATATTAGAAATTAAATTCTTGTCAATAACATGTTGCCGTGAATCTGTCAAATTGTGATTAATCTATGGACTTTTTGGCTTTACCAAGGCACATGTGGGAGCCAGAAATGGGAGGGAAAACTTTTTGAAGATAACTGGACAGATGGGAATCAAACCCTATAATGATATGTAAGATATGTCACCAGTCTCTTATACTAATGTTGGCACTGCCCTATTCACCCTCTTTACTAGCTGTGAACCCATCTGCCAAAGCTTATAGTTGGCATATAAGACATATTCCAAGAAAAAATTTTAAAGTCAAACCTGAAGAGTAAACTTGTGGTTTTTGTCATGACTGCAAAGCTTAGAAGCAAGAGCTGTATAATACTTGTTAAAGGACTTCTCCTGCAAACAGCACTCAACAAGAACACGCATGATCTCTCTGTCCTGCAACATGTAAAAGAACTGAAATTCAATACTGATGCCAAGCACAAGAATAATGATTGACAAATAAACTTCAAATATATTTGTGGTGCAAGCAGAAATCTAAGCCCAGACCTGCTTTCCTTGTAGATTCAAGCTCAACAGTTGCTCAAATGCATCAATATAATCTTCTCCACTCATTATAACAAGAAAAATTGCCCTTCTGGTATCTGTATTCATTCTTTGTTTGGCTGCCAGGTTCAGCATTTTTTGGGCCTCATTAACCTCTTTGTCCACCTTACCAGCAACTTTACGAACATCTTCTGTTTGAGAAGATAGGTCCCCAGAAAACCACCATTGCCCTTTCTTCTTGGGATCAAGCAGCTTACTCCATTTGACTCCCCTGAGTGTGATGTCATCGACTCTAAGCTGCAAGTAACAGAAAGTGTTTTTAACAAACAAATAAGACTGTAGTTCATGGTGATGAAAACAAATTTTATCCTAAATACTTTGCCACACATGTCCCACACAAATCAGTTGCAGAATGTTAATATTATAGATGAGCATTTGAAGCAGTGATGAATAATGGAGTCTAATACTTTCAAATTTTTCTTCTTCTCTATCTCTTTTTTTTTTTTAGAAAAATGTTAACATACAAGAGAGTGTGTAAAAGTAAGGAAGTAGAACTAGAATCAACGGCATACAAGAATGAAAACGAGAGGACAAGAAACAAGCTACACTAAGAAATGTAGGCAGATTTTGTCAATTTGGATTTTGCAGGCAGGAGCAAGAAATACTCTCATCATCATGTCATTACCATCAGCATTTTCAGAACAGCAAAATCACAATCAAGTTTAATCACAAAAGCAATAAGGTTAAGAGAGCTAGACAAAAATAAAGCACAAACCCTTAAATCTTTCTCCAAAGCTACCCCCTCAACCCCCTTCTCTCTCCCAAACTATATTTACAGAAGTGCATGGGGATGGAGGGGAGAAAACCAACATTTGACACGCTTAACAGGAGGATAAAAGTAAGATAGGCAGGGTCAAAAGCTATTCAATCATCCTAAATGTTTCCTCTTTGAGTCTCTTATTTACCGTCTTTCCCTCACAGATGTGAAACCAACCATCAAGAACTGGCTTACCCAGAAGGCCCCACTTCTCAAAAGTTTAGGTTGAAGTTTGGTAAGGTCATAAGCATACTCACAAGTCACAACCCCCAGTCTCCTATAGTCATAGGTCTCGAAAGTGGTCCTTTGATCTCAAGACGGGCAACATTGGGACCCTCCTAGTATGAATTGCAAGGGGTGCTGCCATCACCACCCCAACCTACGGACGAACAAATCCTTGTTCCACCAAGAAATAGGGAAAGTTAAAATATGACTTGATGTTACAATGACAAACATATGCATATCATAGATTTGATTATTCAATTATTATAGCTATCAATAATCCCTTTAAAAGCCGAAGCTAGGGCTCTAGCTATCAAGCCAAGTTGGGATTGAAGAGCAAAATCAAACGAATTAGCACCATGCATAGAAGAGGGAATGGGGGGGGGGATGAGGAGGAATATTTGTACCTCCCTCCACAAAGGGGATCATCTAGTATAAGTTGAAAAGAAGCATAGTGGGAATCCCATGGGTTGGGTCGAGTGAAGATCGGCTTCTTAATATGAGCGAGAATAGTAACAGAAGGGGATCCTCAGATGCAAGTCTGAGTTTGTCAATACCTATTTCAACTGCCCTTATTTCCCGGTCCAACTAGGACCCGTCCCTAGATGGCGTGGTGATGGAACTGCCCCTTGCTATCCATATTGGGAGGGTCCTAATATTGCACCTTTATGAGATCCAAAAGACCACCCCAATTATGTGACTTCTTGCTACATTCATTGCCGAAAAACTAGAATTAATTAATTAAGCATAAATATCAGTATTCACTTTTACCTAAAGATCACCATAATTGGAGCACATCTTAATGATCTAATATTGAATATAAAAAAAAAACGATGAGAACTAGGCAAATTTTCTACCACTTTCTTTTGGAAAAAGTGCTTAGCAGAAAGAATCTACTTTCCACTCTCATACAAAATCAAGGATTTCCAGAGTAGGCTGTGCACCAGTCCAAAACCCAACCAGAATGGACCAGAACCCATAATCGAATTTTTTTGGGGACCAGGACCAGACCGTAATCAATTGGTCCGGATTCTGGTCCAGACCTGTTTATTCTGTTCCGGTCCGGTTTTGAACCGGAATGGACCGGTTACATAATCTTTTTTTTTTTTTTCATTTTAGTATTTTAATATATACATACATTTTTAACATCTAGTTTTTGTTTGCGTTCTTTCCTATTTTGCACCTAGAACTTATAAATTACAAGTTTTGTATCTAAATTTTTTAGAAATTTAAACATAAAATTTAAAATTTTCACCCAAAAAATTACAAAAATACACTTTCCGGTCCATTCCAGTCCGGACCAGAATATTCTGGTTTTTTACCCGGACCGGACCGAAATCCCCAATTTGTGAGGACCGGAATCAACCAGTCGTCGTTTTCCGGTCCAGGTCCATTTCTGCACACCCTTATCCAGACTACAATATCAACTACAAAATTGCTTTATAAAATTTCTCTCACAAATCACATATCCTCTAATTTAGTTGATTGTCTAACTTTAAAAGCGCAATGAAATAACACAAGCTTAACATTTTTTTCCCTTTAGTAAACAACTTTGAAATGTGTAAAATGAATAGTTTTGTCAAGTAAACATGCCTTTGACTTTGCTTACACACTAGTTAACTCAGAAAAATAAGGTTAAACTATTGTATGCTTACTAGAAGAAATAGCTTACAATTGCGGGTGGTCCGAATGAAAACAAATAATCCATGAAAATAAATCTTACATCTTTTTATATAAGCCAAGGGAAAAAGGAAGGAATAAACAGTTGGTGTCCCGACTTTTGAACTACCCACAAAGGCCACAATACCCCCAAAGTCAAATAATATTGCTAATATTGCTTATTATATCTCCTCGGAGAAAAACAAAATTACATTGCTTTCAAATCTTCACCCACATAAAAAAAAAAAAAAAAAAAATATATATATATATATATATATATATATATATATATATATATATATATATATATATATATTATATACTCCCTTAATATTTTTAGCTCATTTTAAAATCTTTAAATAAGAAGAAAAATATTAAATGAGCAAAAAACCACCCTTGGATGCACCTATCTCTATGTGCACCCGAGTGCATTATTGGCACACACATTGCGTGCATATAGTACCAGTATTTCATATGCCAACAAACAACAATTAGTATAACAAGTGAAAAAAAAAAAAAAAGAAAAAAAAGGGAAAAGAGAGAGAGAGAGAGAGAGAGAGAAGAATAGATAAGTAGATTGAAACTGTAAAATTGAACAGGGATAAAACCTTTTGCAGCCATTTCTTGATGCGCGTGTGTGGTGAAGAATCCTCCTTAACACGCTTCTTGTTATTCTTGATGTCACATATAGTCTCAAGCATAAATTCCATCTGCAACATATAAATTGTATTATCACATGATGCCAAGAGCATGTGCAAGGGGAAGAAAAAAATAGATCCATGAATAATCTCAGAGTGTCACAAAATCATACCCTCTTGCTATATGTAACCATCTCCACATCTTCTGATGTAGCCTTTAACTCATTCACTCTACTTTGGACACTTGAGATGAAGTCTTTCATGGAAGTAGGATCATCCCCCCGCAACTTCATTCCACAACCTGTTAATTAAACCGAAGTATGATTAGTTTGTCAGCTTTATGATATGTTCTAAAGAGAATAACATTTTAAACAGAAATTAGCAGCAGGTTACATATATTATAAAGAATGACAAGTAAGAAACTGCAAGAGAAGTTTGAATCGGAAGTCAAAAGAGATTTTATAAATATACTAAAAAACTACTTCCTCCGTTTTTTTTTAATCAAACACTTCATTTTTACTATTACCAATGCATATTCAACCATTAATATCCTTACTCATCAATAAATAAATTATATTATATTATTATAAACAATTAATACTCGTATTAAGAATTAAGCCAAATCTAACAAGACCCCCCACATGACCTTTATTTTTTTTTTTTTACTTAACTGAAAATCACCAAAAAAAAAAAAAAAGATATTGTATAATGTGTGAATAGTGTAAATTTCTAAGTGTTTCATCTTAAAAAAAATGAAGTATAAATCAATCTCCACTAACTGCAGGAGGAATTAAAAGACTAGAAGAGATAGAGAGAAGCTAGAATTTAAACATCACTTTGAATAATCATGAAAGGAAAGAAAGTCCTCACATTGTAAAATCGTTAACATAATAGAAACGTCAATCTCTGCCAGCTGTTTGCTTAGCTTGATCAGAAAATCATAAATCAAGTCACTGCAAGGTGGATTCAAAAGTCAGAGTTAGTTGACAAAAGCAATATTAGTATCATAATAGCAAAGTATAACAACTCCAAGTAGATAACATATGAGCAATTCAAGTAATGACCAATGTCCTCAACAGTTAGGAGGACATTCAAAGTGATCTACTCTTCATTGACTAGCCAAACTATATACAAAAAATTAAAGAAGCTAATGCTAATAGTTTGTAGGAAAGACACAAGTGCAAAGCTAAAGCCTGACTGAAGCAGAGCATACAAAGCAGAATTTCTTATATAAGATAGAAAGGAAAATCATTAAATAGAACAAAAGCAAAGTTAAAATAAAATAGGATCATGAGCGTTTGTAAGGACCCAATGAGACAACATCAAATGCAAGTTACATAATTTTCATACGTAAGCCACACAAATTGTAAACTATAAGACTATCTACTAATAAAAATTTCATCATTTCTTCCCAACACAGAACCGAGTTAACTGGCATGGTAATATACACTGCCTTCACTTCCCAATCACAACAAAAAGTGGATTTGCAAGTGCTCCATGAATGGTACAAAATAGCTGTATTGTTTAATTTTTTCAGATAGGCTGTATTGTACAAGGTTTGACCGATAGGAAATGTCCAGTTTAGTACAGGGTATTTCAAAAACCCGAGACATCCGAATCAAATGTTCCTACCCTGAATCACCCCGAATTAAATGTTTTAGATATCTAAATGTTTGATATAATATCTTTTTTTTTAAGGCTGATATACTACTACTTAGGAGTACTTATTTGGGAAATGTATTAATAAGAAGAAAAAAAAAAGCCTCTTAAACTTATAAATGGGGGCAAATATGTAACAAACATTATCATGTAAGAAAAAAAAAGAGCTTTTAAACTTATAAATAGGGGTAAGTATGTAAACCAACATTTTAAGGGGTATAAATGTCCTCACACTATTCATAGGAGCTCTCTCATACTTTTTAAAAGGTAGTGATATCCTAAAAAGACTTTTAAATCAAATTTGAGCAACAACCGCAACATGGTCAACGATCAAAAAATTATATCCGTTCCCAAGACACCATAACCATTCTTGCAATTGTAAACAAAATTGTAAAATAAAACAAATTTATTGAATTCAGAGCATAACAATAGAATGATAGTAAGAACTACAGGAAAATAAAAACGCTTTTATAATGCTACCCTCAATCAAATGTTTGTCACCTGGCATCCATAGTATCCAACTATCCACGCAACACAGATTGACAACATCAATGAGCTTATAATTTTGACCAGTTAGCAACTACACAGCTACAGAAGTATCGCGATATAAACACAATCATTTGATTCCTTAAACCAACACACAAACTTAATGAACACATAAGAATTAGTAGCATAAATCTTACCTCGAGCACACTCCAAATATGCACAAGTAGGAAAGGAGAAGTGACAAATTTCTGAGGGATAGATTATCTTCCTTGGAGTATTCATCCTAATATGAAGACATTAATTAGATTTAATATAGTCAGCATGCGGCAGAAAATTAGCAGTGCAAACAAGAGATAGGCACATTGAACAATATTATATCCATGATACTATACCAAATTTGTAAACAACTCCCTCCATTCCTTTAAATTCTTTACGTTTTGACGTTTATGGCAAACTTTAAAAAAACTTTGGCAATAAAAACTCAATATAAACATCAAAACGATATCATGTGAGATCTTGATAAAATAAAATTTCATAATATTAAATAAATAAATAAATAAATAAATATATATATATCCATGGTCAAAGATGTGCACCAGAAGTAAAATTCAAAGCATAAAGAATAAAAAGAAACAGTGAGAGAAAAGCAAGATACTTAATAAAACAAATTCTGATTTTTTAAAGCAAAGATACAAAGCTAGTACCTCAAAAGATTTTGCAAGGGATGCCATAAACCTCGCACCAAAGTCTATTCCAATCATAGATGACATACCAGCTAGAAATGCTGCAAATACTGCTGCATACCTTCATGTCATATACGTAATTCTTGAATCAGTTATATGCATGAGCGATTAACTCAAACATAAATAACAAAGGACAAGAAGTAGACAACACTGAGTCAAATCTTGGCATACATGCAACTATATTTAAGAGTCTAAAGAAGCAAAGTTGACTTAACAACATATTAAACAACTTTATCCCCCTTTATGTTCATGTGATAAGAAAACACACTTCAAATGCTAAATAAAAAGAGCAACTAAGCAAAATGCTTTCAACAATGTTGTAACTTGGAGGTATAATGCAAGGAAGAAACACCATAAAACCCAAGCCTTAACCCTTTTAGCATATACTATAAAATAGAATTAAAAAAAAATCCAAATATTAATTTATTGACAAACTCCTAGCTCAAAGACATAGATAACATACCGCATAGAAACAAAATTTCAAACTGAAATAGATATATAAAAGGGGAAAAAAAAAAGGAAGAAAGCACATTTCATCTGAGAGAGCACAATAAGAGTGACAATTAAAACAACCCAAGGGAACATTAAAGCTGCTATGTGAACACAAAGCAACAGAACTAAGATCTCTGGAAGAATACAAGATCAAAGGCATGACCATCATATGCAAAGAACAGAGAAAGATTGGACAGGTGAAGGGATAGAAATACAGCATCACTAATTCACCCACCTGGCCAGTGGCCACCCAATGACCATCATATGCAAAGAACAGAGAAAGATTGGACAGGTGAAAGGATAGAAATCCAGCATCACTAATTCACCCACCTGGCCAGGGCCACCCAATGACCATCATATGCAAAGAACAGAGAAAGATTGGACAGGTGAAAGGATAGAAATCCAGCATCACTAATTCACCCACCTGGCCACCCACCAATTAAAGAAAAAAGGACCAAGAGATTTGAGTTTCAACCTTCTGAGGGCAAGAAAAGAAAGCAGAAGGCTGGATTTGTCTTGTGAGTGACAACCTAATAGCTTGTGTTTCCTACATCCCTCTCAAACCTTTCTATTCTTGTTATATGACCTCTCCCAGACATAGTAATTTTGCAAGATTACCATTTATTTAATTCAGTTCTATGAAATGAACCTAATAGTGGACACAAAGGCTCCTTAGCATAGCCATACAGCCAACAAGAAATGATGGTGTGTTCTCATCATTAGATAATTTTTGTGATGATGAAAATGATGACTTTATGTTTGATAGTGGATATTCACATGGAGCGTCGGTACTTGTTAGGGTACTTGTTAGAGCACTGAAGCTTTTGATCATATCCTAAGCAACTTAGCATCAGAATAATGAGGGTAGGGATGCCCAATACCCCTGAATCGTCACCTAAACCTAGTGTGATAAATGAATAACAATGGTGCTAAATGCTCCCAAACATCTCATAGTATCGTAGAGTCATGGCAATCGGATGAGAAAGATGCTGATGATGAGATGGAAGAGGACATTGGTAGAGACAGAAAATCTATGAGATAAATACGATTATGACAATTGACTACACCCCCTGTAATCATTTATATATCAATAAGGAAAACATTCTCACAGAATAACAGCATACAAGTGACGTTAATGTTAGAAGCAAATTTTTTATTGGAAAAAATGTCAGAATCTTACTGTTCATTTCCTCGTGAACCGCCAGCACATGAAGCCAAAACCTCTTCACTGACCATTTGTGATGCAACAGCACGACTGACAGACTATAGAGTAATTAAGAAAAACAGTAAGTTGAACAAAAGGCAAACGATAACCAGACCTTGTTTTTTTAAGAAATAACCAGACAGATATTTTGGGATAGAATTGTGTTCGACACTAAAAGAATCATAAAGAATATAACATCTAATTATCTAAGGCACAAATAGCAGTGAGCATGGGGAGGATGAACATCAAAATAAAATAAGATAAAATAAGGTTTTAATTATCAAGTGTTTTCCCACAGAAGTTCTATTGTTGAGCAGCTGGCGAAATGAAGTATGTATAGCACTAGGTCAGGCTATTTGACACACATGAGCCTAAAGAACGTTAGATATTATATAGTAAATGTAAAATAAAAATTAAAATAAATATATAAAACACCAAGATTTTAGCTACAATTTACTGGTATACCTGAAATATTGAGAAAATTTCTCCAGTAATAGACTCCACATTAGACTCAGACATCCTGTTCAGCAGACCTAAACCAAAGGGGAGAAAATTCAGCATTATAAAGAATGGAAAGAAACGTATCACTGAAGAAAATATTAATTATTACCTCGTACTCGTCTTCGAATTTGTACATACTCTTGTAAATCATCACCAGATCTAGATCTCAAATGAGGTGCAACATACTTGCCAATGCTCTGTAAACCAGTATCCGTTTCTAACACTGTAGTTTCCTCACCCTCTTCATCTGAATCAAGTGACATGTTTTCGGCTTGTTTCATATCACTAGCATCATCACCATCATCAGAACCACTTTTTTGCTCTGCGTTTTTTCTCTCCCTCTTTCTCCTCTTGCTTTTTTTCTTTTCAGTCCTTTCAACAATTTCTGTTTCGCTGCTGTCATTTGCCTCATCCCCATCACCAGATGCAAATAAATTGCTCTTCTTGGTTTGCATATCAGGAGAATCATCTTTAACAACACCAAATTCTCGCCCCGATTTTTCCATTATCTTTCTCTTTTTCTTTCTGTTCCTATCATCATCTTCTAGTAAACTTTCTGATTCACTGTCATCTTGTCTATCATATACTTTCTTAGATGAATCATGAAGAGACGGGATACCTTCAAATAAGAATTCAAGTCCATCACCACCGTCATTCAATTTCCCATTTTTCAATTTCAGTCTTTTAGCCAACTTCCGTTCCATTTCCAAGTCCTCCTCCATCGACGGCCCTGACTTCATATCCATTTCCAAAAACTCCTCAAACCCTGTCCTCTTTTTACCAACCTTCTTTTGATACTTGGACATCCTACTCTTAACAGCAGGCTTAGCATTACCGCCGTCACTATCACTCTCCATCATAGATAACTTCCTATTCTTTCCTTCTGTACTCACATTCTCAACCGAAGAAATCATACCCTCTTTCACACTACCATTTCTCAAATTGTTTGAGTTCCTTTTAGACTTGCTAAATTTCTACAGTATCCAATAAATACATAGTCAAATAAGAGAAAACTGCAGAAAACACAAATAAAAAAAACAACCAAAAACCCTAGAAATACTAAACCCTGACCCAAAAAAAAAATTAAAAAAAATAAATAAATAAAAAAAAAAAAAAAGTATGAACCTGATGTTGAAGCAGAGATTGATGTTTATGTTGTTTCTTTTCTTGTCTAGCAGCTTTTCGCTTCTCCTTACGCGAAGCCATCATTTCTAAAGGAATTTGAAACAACGAAAGAAATCAAAATTAAAAAATTGAAATAATTAGCAAACAAAATCAGAAATTGAAACGATAAATTAAATATCCCTTGAATTTAAATACAATACAAAATGTAAAGAAATTACCCATAGCTTTAGCGGGTTAGACCGAAAGCTTCCAATGTTGTGTGTCTGTGAAGTACAGAAAAAGGGAGGAAATGTTGATTAATGGAGCAAGTTCATCTATGACTGATAATAATTAATGAAAAAAATCAATACTGAAATAACTATTCCTTCCGCATTAATCAATTACAGTACATTAAACCAATTTCGGGTACGACTTGGAAACGTCCCCAAGGCGTCCCCTTTGAAAGTGGTACGGCTAGCCAATTTGGGGACGGCTAGCCTCTTGCTCGGGTACGTAATGGGGACGGCTTGGACCATTTTCTCACGTTTCCTTAGAATTTTAGGCCATATTTTTCTGAAAAAAAATAAACCCAAAATCAGTGAATTACTAACCTAATTTTCGATTTCCCTCAATTCTCAAAAACCCGAACAATTGCGAACGGCGATTCCCTTGGAGGTGCGACTTGATTCAATCTTCTACGGTGAACGGAGGCCACCGGCGACTACTTCGACACCGGCGACTGGCGAGGCTTCGAGCTTCGAGTCTTCGACCGGTTAATATCTCTTTCTTCTTCTATCTTTCTCCTGCTTCTACTTCTTGCGTTTTCTCTTTTTTCAAACCTTCTGTTTTCTATTCTCTCTTTTTGTTTTTTTATTTTTATTTTTATTTTTATTTTTGTTGGTTATTTATGTGAATAATGTGATTTATTGCTAAAATTTGTTACGGAGTATAAACACTAGTACACCCAATTAAAAGTCTGTTCTCATACGTTTATTTTCAGTTCAGCTTAGCTCAGCTCAATTCAGCTCCTAATTTCCTTCTCTTATAAAATATTCATTTCAGTTCAGTTCAATTCAGTTCTGCTCAGTTCAGTTTAGCTCAGTGTAGTTCATTTCAGCTCAACTGAGTTCAGTCTATGAGAATAGGCCTTAAATCAAGGTTAATTTTTGCTTTTCATATGATGATTAAATGAAAAACAATTATTAAAATGAGTACAAAATACTCATGGGTGTACGATACAGTTAATTTTTGCTCTTCATACTACGTATGATTTATTTTAAGTCACTGTAGAAATGCAGATGGTAGTCCAGCTGTCCAGTAGGTGTAGAAATCACTTTCTGTTTTTTTTTTCGTTTTAAAAGGTACTATAATTTGTGCTCTATGGATCATTTTTATTTGTTACCCATTTTTTGAAATTTTAATTTTTTCGTATGCTGTCCACGTACTCATTTACGTGCAACATTATTAGCACCCCCTTACATTATACCTTTTTATCGCAAAAATAGCTAACTTCAACCATTTTTTATTAATTCATCAATATATAAACCAAAAAAGTTCCAAGAAAACAATCCATTTTATGAATCGAAGAATATTACTCTCACACACAAAATGACATAATTATTCAACCATATAACAAATCTAATCTAATCTATATAAATAAAGTAGGCATTTTTCAGGAGTATTCGGCGCGCCACATAAAAAATGTATTATTTTGACCAATGATATTTTAGATTAATAATTTATTTTAGAATTAAAAAATTCACTCGCCACCTAAGAAAAAGTGACGAATAAGATTTAAGAATTTTGCCACCTAGGTAAAAATAAAGAATAGTGAACAATTAAAATTTAAATTATTTAAAAAATAATAATTATCTTTTTTACATATATGGATGTAAACCTTTGATCGTAAATATCTTTAATCTCTTCCTAGCAAATATTATAAAAATTAGATATTAATAATGTATTCATCGAAACGAATAAAACTAAATCTCATATCACTATGTTTTTCCTTATATAGAGAGAGAAATTTAGAAGATTCCCTCTAATTTTTTTAATAGTAAAAAGATTCTAGATAAGACTAACATTTTGAAACAGAATGAGTATATAAAAAAAAAACGCATTTGCAAAGGACTTATTTTAACCGATAAAAAAAATGATTTGTCATTTATTTTTTATTAAAAAAATTAAATTGTCACCTAAGCAAAATTAAATAATAAGGTTTGGGATTTTAAATTTAAGCGGCACGTAAAATAAATAAACCCACGAAAGATAACTTTAGTGTTAAAATTTTTAAAAAAAAAATTATCTTATGATATTAGGAATTTTATCCAAATATCTAATGAATGATCTTCATATAAAAAAATCTTAAATTAATAAAAAGATTTACTAGAACCGTGCATCGCACGGGCTTATATCTATTTTAGAAAATATTGATCGCAAATTACTCAAATTCAAATATTAATATTCATAAATATATAACAATAATCAGATATTCAAAGAGCATGATTCTAACAAAATTTACATTTAAATTGGAACTTATGATGAAATATTTAGATGAATTTTCGAAATTAGAGGAGAGAGACTAACATGTGCATATAAATACAAGTAACGGGAAAACTTAATGGCCAGGGCCTCTGCGGACTGTTTTTTTTTTTTTTTTTTTTTTTTTGTTCCTGTTCTTCGTTGTGAAGGCCCTCTTAAGGTGCTATATATCCAGGTGCTTAAACCCTGTAGGGATAGATTAATGGCCTGGCCCACTGCATGGTTTTAAAATATACTTCCTCCGTTTCTTTTTAATTGGCACGTTTATTAGTCACGTTTGCCAATGCACAAATTCAACCGTTAATATCTTTAATTACCAATTTCCAAAAATTATAAAAAGTTGATATTTTGAAATTATACAACGTGACGAATCTAATAAGGCCCCACATTACTATATTTTTCATTACGTATAAATCACAAAACACAGTCAAAGGAAAGTGTGTGAATAGTGCTAGAGTTAAAAAGTGCCAACTAAAATAACCGGAGGTGGTATACTACGAGTAAAGTTAGGGAAAAATTATTGAAAAGTAATTTGTTATATTTTCACAATTGTAAAAATATTGGACTATGTTCGAATATTAATTAATACTAGTTGTAGACCCGCGCGTGATGGGCGCGGTTTCCCAACCTTATCAATGTATTTTCTCGACTGATTTTGTTATCAGTGTTGTTTTTCGAGTGGTTTTTTTTTTAATGTTTTACCATCCATCAAGATTTGCGGTTTCCCAAATTATCAATGTATATTCTCGAATGAAGTTGCTATCGATATTATTTCTCAATTGATTTTTTCATGTTATACCATCCATCAAGAATTGGGTTTGGGTCACTTGGGACTCACCATGCAGCCAAAAAATGTGATCACGGGTTCAAATTAATGGATGATTGGCCAATATAAGCTAATTCTCCCATAAAAACAAGAGTATAATAACTTACATGTGTAAAATAAAAGAGTATAACTTTCACTAATATATATATTAACATTTTCGTTTGGCATCGATGTGGTTTTCTGTTTTTGGTTTTTTGTTTTTCAAAATCATATGATATATGCCATATAATGAATCAAATATTAGTTAAATTTGTTAAAATCATGATAATTTTGAAAAACTAACAACAGAAAAGTGGAACATCTTTTCTTGTTTCCTGTTTTTAATTTTTTGTCTTCAAAAAAAAATAATAATAAAAAAATAAAAAAATTGGAAACTAAAAACAAAAAATAATACTATGTATCAAACAAGGAACCCAATCTTATATAAGAACCAATCTGGACCGTGTGATTAGATTGTAAAACGCTAAACATCGCCCGCAATTTACCATATAAAGCCCACAAATATGATATGGTTTGACCATTATGCCCATTTTCTAAAATTGAAATAATCTCGGTGTAAAAAATGTGGAGCCGTACTGGCTCGCCGGGGGAGACCGGAGGGCAGGCCGGAGATGCGGGGGACGCCGGAGGTACGTCGTCGTCGACGGAAAACGAGGTAAGTCACCGTTAAAATTCACGGTTTACCGTCGGAGTGGCTCCGGCGCCTAGGATGGACGCTCAATCCGTAGCCTGGACGTCCAAGCCAGACGCCAGAACCACCAGAGTGGCGTCCAGCCCAGACGCCCAGACCACCAGACTGGCGTCCTGACCAGGCGCCACTCTACTGGCTGAGGCGGCCCTGCCAGGCGCCAGTCCAGTGGCTGTGGCAGCCCTGGCAGACGCCACCCTTATAAATTAATTTTTTTTTTCTTTTTTGATTTTGTTGTTGTTTTTTATTTAAATTTTTTTTAAAAAAAAAAATCGAAAATGATTTTTAAAAAAAATTCGAAATGGGTTTTTTTTAAATTAAATTTGAAAATTCGAAATAGGTTTTTTTAAAATTAAATTTGAAAATTCGAAATGGTATATTTTTAAATTTAGTTTGAAAATTCGAATTGGGTTTTTTAAAAATTAAGTTTGATTATATATAATTATGCTTTTTTTGTGTTAATTCTGTGTAAATATAGAAATTAAATGTATTATCCGTTAAATGTATTTATTGTAATATATAATTGATGCGGGAATATGGTGGAGACGGAAATGATTACAGTGGGATATTTGGACATGATGGTCCATTCGAAGAAGCTCAACAAGCGATTGATTAGGCAAAACAGGTTGCAATTGCAGCTGGATTTTGCTTGGTAGTAGTAACTCATAAATCTCAACGGGATGGTAGAATGGATTGCATTTTGAGATGTGACCGTTATCGCAAAAGAGAAGAAAGAGATTTTCGTACAGCCACTCGGTTTGATACAAAGCGGAAAGGTTGTGGGTGTGAGTTCAGAGTAAAGGTTCGACAACTACGGAGTCGTGACGGTTGGGAAGTGATTGGTTACTCTAAATGGGGGTATCACAACCATGAGATGATAGTATATGAAGAGGGTCATCGACAACTGAGCGGCTTAAGTCCTGCTGCGAAACTAGTTGTGAAAGAAATGAGTGATGCTCAAGTGAAGCCTGCTAAAATATTAGCATCTGTGTTAGAGAAATTTCCAGAAGACCATCCAAACCGAAGACACATCTACAACGTCAGACAGCAACTCAGGTTTGAACGGTCAGAGGGAAGGAACCCTATACAGCAGCTGCTACACCAGGCACAATCACGTGGTTACCTGTTCTGGTTTGATTCTGATGAAGATACAGCGGAGGTGACTCATCTTTTCCTTGTGCATCCTGATTGTGCTGATATGATCAAGTCTTGGCCATTTGTGATTTTGATCGACTCAACGTACAAGACAAACAAGTATAAGTTCCCACTGGTTGAGATGGTTGGGATGGCTCCAACGAACCAGAACTTTCTGATTGGTCATGCAATCATCAAGGATGAGACGGCTCCAAGTTATTATTGGGTGTTGGAGAAGCTGAGAAACTACATCGGGCCTAATGTTCATCCAGCAGCCATCGTCAGCGACTGTGAGGGAGGTCTCTTTGCCCCCATAGCAGAGCTGTTTCCCGAATCGAACCACTTATATTGTGCACATGGCACATCAACAACTGCGTGAAAGTGAAAGCCTACAACCTTTTCAAGAAGAATTTGGAAATGGCAGAGAGATTGGTGAATGGTAAGTGGCGGAAGATCCTACAGGCTACCACAGAGGAAGCGTATGAGCGAGCATTGGCTAACTTCAGGGATTCGTACCAGTGGTGTCCGACACTGGTGGACTATGTGATGCATCAATGGGTCCCTCACAGGGAAACGTTTGTCAAATATTGGACAAACCAGGTACTTCATTTTGGGAACACTACAACATGTAGAGTTGAGAGCGCTCATAGAGCTACCAAGGACTGGATTGATTCATCGAGCGCTGCTTTGGATACACTGTTCGCTAGACTGAACAAGTCAATTGAAACTCAGAAGAACGACATCAGGAACTCTCTAGAGGACTCCAGACGACGACATGGTACGATGTATAGCCATTTTATATTTAAGATTCTCCATGGTCGTGTGTCGCACTATGCTTGGGGTTGATTCT